GACTCAGCCAGTTGCCTATGCACTGTGCTAAGTACGCCTTGTAAATTCTCGTTTGCTTTTTTCCACTATTTTCATTTTTGTTATTCCAACACAATCAAGCGCAGCTATTCCGCTGCAATTCACTTGATCATGTGGTTGGTTTTTGCTAATAATTCTTTTTAGAATGTTTAACTTTTAGGTGTGCTCGTCCTTAAGTTATTTGTTTTTGTTATTTTTTTGGCCTTTATAACAATTATATTCAACCATTTATATTGAGCTCTAGGCCGTTTTAAATGAAAATTTTATTGTGGAAAAGCAACAATAATTTATTATTATTATTAATTTTTATTTTTATATATTTTTTTGTTATTTGATTTGATTTGGTTTTTAATTTTATTTCATTCTATTTTAACATGTTAATGTAATTGAAAAATTATTAAGCAAGTAATTGTAGAAAATTTATGTGAATTTATTATATTTTTTGAGAGTCTTCTTTTTTTTACTAAATCTTCTTAAACTTACCAGGTCGCGTTATGCGTCCAACATTGAAGCGATGTGTGTAATTGACCTTGAAATAGTTCTCAACAATAGCACGTTCAGCCTTGCCCTCTCCATTGACAGGTGAAAATAAATATTCGGGATCAATTTGGTATTTTAATTGTTGATAGCTGAATAATAAAAATAAAAATAAAAAAGGTCCTTTATAATGCAGGCCGTGTTAAGCTTGCACAAATGTATGTAGACAGCTTCTTACGAAAGTACTTACCCAGTCATGCAGAGCATAGTAAGCAGCACCGGTATTATAATAAAATAGCCAGGATGTTTAGCAATTAAAACGCCCAAATGATAAAAGGATTTATTTAACATCTTATCCACCCAATATATGCAGCCACACCTCATCTGTTAGGAAGAAAAAAACAAAACAAAAAAAAGAAGGAGGATAATTAACAAAATGAGCTCAAGCTTTATTTAGAAGTATGTCAATACAACTTATAAGATTAATAAACGAAAGAAGCGCGGTAAAAAATGTATATTAAAAAAGTAGTTTTCCTCTTTTTATAAAGAAATATATGTAATTACTTTTCTTTGTTCTTTTAAAGCGTTTTTGGCATTGTTTTTTAATCAATATTTACCGCCTTTCAATATCAATTTTAATTACATATGTATTTACATCTAAGTTTTTATTCAATTTACGATTAATTCTTTGTTACCTTCCTTATTTTTATATCTAACAGTTTTACCCTTCACACGTTTAGCACGATAAACCACAAATACATATGTATATATGTATACGAAATATGTAATTGCTTTCATGAAACTCAAATTGCTTATGATTCCGAATTGGTTTAGTCTGAGCAGCCGCGCGCATTGCGTGCATTTGCGCAAGCGCGTGTTTGCAACGACATTGCTGCAAAAGATCATAAAACAAAATTCATAGGCTCTAAGCGCTTACAATGTGTATATACTTCTAAATTTAGTTGATGCCGTGCGCCCTTAAGTACGTATGCGTGTGTACTCTTAGTCACTCAACACTTTGAGCTGTGAGTGGCACCTTCAAATGCTATGGGTGCACAGTATTTTTGTTGGTATTTTAATTTTATATTACCACAAGGGCATTCCTAATGCACGTAATGACGATTCAAAAGTTTAGAATACAATTTTCATAAGCACACACCCGCAGTGGCGTAGACAGGATTTCGGGTATGAGGGATGATAGCTAAGAGGTGCCATACTGGCCATAAAAGAGTGCCAAATAGAAAAAACAGAAGTACCGAATAAGCTGTCACTTTTGAATTTCCATTTAGCAATTAAATAAGATTTACTTTGCTAAAACTAAGTTCGGTTCCATCAACTGTAGAAACTAGAAAATTGTATTTGTCAAAATAATTGTTTTCGCGAGGGATTGCACAAAATTGTATTCAAATATTTTTATTTTTTCAAAAGTGCCATTTGAAATAAAATAGGGCTGTCAGGGTAGTAGTTGTAGAAGAACCGTAGGCCCCTCCACTTTGTTTCACTATATCAAGGCGGACAACACAAATTGAAGGAGAAGTTCGCCAAACACTAACATATGTATGTGTAAGCGCCAATCTAATATTATTTCTATGTAAATTTTATAAATGAAATACTCCTATAGCCCCCATTAATTTTTTTCGCTATGAAAACTGAGAAATGAATTTATTAGTAAAATCAATATAAATAAAAACATGTTCGTCCATTTTAGAAGTCCAGTGCGAGTTGAAATTCGAATGTCATTTAGATGTTGAAAATGGTACTTCCGATAAAACGTAACGTAGTTTTATCCACAGAAAGCAAATCTATAGTAAAAAGATACATATTCCATTTAAATAAATGGTCAGTTCCGGTCAGTTTAACCCACTTCCGGCCGAAACCCGACCAAAAGATAGAGCATCCCCGACTTGGTAGCTCATAATTTTGCGTTTTCCAATAAACAACATTTTCGTCCATTTTATATATATATATAGATATATATATATATATATATATATATATATATTTTTTTTTTAATTCAGTTTTTTCTCTATACGGAAATTCTATCTCTGCCGTTTAGGTTAGGTTCGGTTAGGTTAAGTTAGATGCGCAGCTCTACATAGTTAAATAGTTCTCTTGAAGGCCGCACGGGCCCATTGGAATGTCCAGAACAGGACTTTACCACATCTTTTCCCAGGAATCTCTAAAACACCTAAATTTCTAGGTGAACCCTACTAGACCCTCCCATGTAGTTAGGTTTTATTTTCAAGCGCCCCTCACCATATCCACGGGTCAAAGACGAGAAGAGATCTAACAATGTAACGGGTGATTTTTT